ACCGCCAGCGATAACGCTAGAACATTCGACGGCAAGAGTATAAAATGCCGACGCGCTTCGCCGCTTGTCAGTTGTTGATCGAAGGCCGACGCTCCGTTCGCCGCTATCAGTCCGAGACTGCTATCTGTGCGAGACTGCTGCTGTAATTGGACTTTCAGTTTACCGGGCACAGGTTCGCCCAAATAAACAGTTCAATCCTAACACGAAGTCTCCTGTCTTCGGCCACGTCACGACCCCGTGACAATATTGTTAAGTATTCAGGAATGCGGAAAGTACGTTTCTTGTGGAGTAATAAAGACTAGGCGCCATAAACAACAATAACAAATAATGATATTCCCACTCCTACTCGGGCCCAAGTAGGGCCTGCAGTATTTGTATATAAATATAAATAAACTTACCTTGGCCTTCTACTCGAACAAAACTGTACGCCGGGTTCCTTCCACACTCGGCCACACGCTTTGCAGCCTCTTGCAAAACGTTCTGCACACCATCGGCGGTGGCTAGTCCCAATAGGAGGCAACAGTACCAGTGAGCAGTGTCCATTGCGCTGCCCACAGACTGACCAAAGTGAGCTGGCTAGCGGCACTTCCAACCAATATATGGGTTCTAGACTCGCGTTCTAACACGCGCAAGGTAACCGCAGAAAAATGCAATTTGAGAGCGGTGTTTTGTGGGGCGAAAAGTGAACTCCCGGAATGCCCCAAGGGCTTCACTGACCTATCACTTGATTGAACTTGATTGCTTCCGCGTTTCCCACTCATTCAACGAAGCCTTCCATGGGACACAGGCTGTTGGCGCTTTTTGCGCCTTGTTAAGCGGTCGAACTTTACAGGTTCGGCTGCTTTGTGCCGTTACGTCACAGTCAGCCAAAAATGAAGTGCACAAGTCGATCCATGATTTGACGCAGCGCGAACGAAGTCGAGAATAAAATTGCCGAACTGTGATAATTATCAAACGTGCCACGCTCGAAATTACGAAAATGCAGGAATTCACTAGATGTCATAGAACTTGCGACGCATTTATGTTTATTAAGAGTATATGAGAAACAGAGGCCAGCCAAGTGCGTCCAGAATTTATGATCCTTTAGTCACCCCGTTGAACATAAATAGCCTATATTAACCTGTGTACTATATGGGTGAGGTTCACTGGTACGCGTTTTTTTCGTTATTCTTGTTGGGCGGACCAAAATTTGGATAGTCATGATGTGGAGCTCGATCACAATACTTTTTTATTAAAGTCGAAACTATTCATCAGATATTTCTTGTGAGTTGATCACAGAAAGCCAGCGGAAAACGTACCAAAAAACTGTCCTCCTCATAGACGGGTACGCATATGAGGAGGACAGAAATGGGTAAATCCCACTTCTAGCTACCGAAATGAAGGAGGGAACAGTTTGCCCTACAAATGACGTTTAGAAGATGGTGGCGAGCCGGAGACCTCGGCTACGTGCAAAGACACATTAGTAGGGCACTGGCAAGGCAATGGCAACCACGAGAAGACCTCGAAGAATGACAGAAGGCCCAACGCCAATGATGACCTGCCCGTAGATGTACGAAAGGCACGAACGCCTAGTTTCAATTCGAGTTTCTGCCCCAAGAGTTTGGATAACCATGTAGAGTCTGTGACTGTCTGCGGCTTAACTCGAACTTTCATTGGTTTAGAACCTTTGAATTAACGTAGGAACAACCTAGCATTACGTATCTAAATCCTTGCAACAACCAACAAGTAACCCAGAAGCTGCATCGCCTAGCTAAGAGCTAGAAACAAGCTAGAATAATCCCGATTTTTCTTCAGAATCATCCCATTTCATTGCCTCAAGCTTGGAGCGGCTTATTGCAAGTGGTGCTGAATTTTTCGCCGGTGCTGCGGGGTTAACTTCAATGTAGTACAACGGCCGTGTATGTGTGCTCAGTTGTACATTAAAAAAAAGCTAGGTAATAAAAATAATACACATGCAGTTCACCACTATGACTTGCATTGTAATCATATCATGATCTTCTCAGATGAAACCTCTCACTTTAATTACGTAACTAATAGCTTAATAAACAAAATGACAATTGGCGCTTCAATTAGTGCAACTAATGCGTGAGCATAAAAAAAAGAGGAAAAGTAGACATGAAATTTTTCATTAAAAGAGCAATTTATGGAGGTAAACGCCCTTGTACTAAGTTATAGAGGACGAACACGTGCTGCGCGTTGGTGATGCGTAAGTACCACGCATTTTGGAAACTCGAACGAGGTAGGTTGGCGTATACCAGCAGTTAGCGTATACCAGCAGTTAGTACACAAGTCGTTAGCCATATAGTACATTGTAAGTTATTTAGCAACATCATAGGTATAATTCGCTGCCTGCTGCACTTTATACTGTACTTGAATCAAGTAAAACATTGCCAGCATTTTTAAAGTATTTGTTTTCTTAATATAGTTACAACAGCAGATGACGTCTTTCTCTTTTAGCTAGAGAACACGCTGTTCAAACTTCAACAGAATCTTTTCTCGGTTAACAGATGTAATATTGAAATCCGAAATACTTAGGCTCATTGTTTATGTTCCTTTTTTTCTTGCTGAAAAATTAGTGAATAGCTATTTTTACGTGGCAAATACGTTGACTGTTTTCTTCTGTAATAGACGCCACTTCATATATTGGGATCGTTTAGTTACTTTCACATTAACCACTGCTTTAACGGCTAAATTACAATCTCATAGAAATAATCGAGACCAAATAGCAAAATCTCACTCTGTTATTGAGGTTTGTGTGCATCCAAAGCTATAAGGATGAACGTAGTGCGCAAACATGAAACCTCTTTAAAAAAATCATTTCGACATTTCGCGTTCATTCATGACTGACTTCTTCAGACAGCGATCTCCGCCATGAGATGAACTGGGTGTTAGTGCGTGTTTCTGCAATGTATTTAACTGTAACCTTGATGTACAACTACGAACACTAGGTGGACACTAGGCAGATCCTAGTGTCTTTACACTTGACGGACCCTCGTACAATATTGGACAGTGACTGACTTGCTCATACATGACCTCATGCTTGTAATCGTTTAAGACACCTTCTTTCTTCTCACTCTTTTGTTTTCACTCACAACCACATGTGAAGGACAGAAAACTGGAAAATTATGATAACGTTTTGCCATTACTCGATCCCCTTCTTATGTTTTCCACAAGCTGATGAGATACAGAGCAGCAAAAAATCGCAAGCTGTCAAGAACGTGTTTCTTTTTGTTATGTAAAACTAATTGAAACCAACATGCAATGAAGCCAAGGACGTTACAGTGAAAATTGTTTGTGATTCTTGAGGTTTAACGTAACATTTATAACCTAAACTAAAAATATAAAGGTGCTACGGGGTATGCAATGAGTGCTGCAAAAAGCGGGGCTGCTGCCGGGGTCAAGGGGCACCTTTCCCGTCGATGATATCCTGACCGACAACTTGTAATTGACCCTCCTTTGTTATAGCTATAATGCTCATTTTCAGTTGGTCTAAAGTAAAAAGAAATACTAAACACTTTCGAAGGCACGGTACACATACGCCGAAAATTGTTCGAAGTTATACGTTTGATCTTCTTGTTTTATGCCGTTCCTTGCATGTCCTCTACAATCTTCAGTAGATGCCCACTCTTACATTTTTCTTTTGCAGCAATCCCCAGTCAAAACAACCACGTTGTGTACGAGGCGTTCGACGCGTCAGGAAAGTACCTTAACGCGGCGACATTGCTGTTCAAGACGTGCTACGATCTACGCTATGACTGAAGCAAACAGCTTGACACCTGCCGGGGCTAGGGAGTATCCCTCACAAGACCTCGACTTGACTTTGGCTGCTCACGCAATAATCACGATATCCCGAAGCTGAACCGTATCCACTGTGTGCAGAGTGCCCTCCCTACACGTAGCTGGATAAATTATGAAGCTTATTTCTTTATTGAAAGAAAGAAAAGTTACACCAATCGTTCAGCTTCTCTCTTGAATAAACAACTACAAGCACTAATTTTTTTATTCAGTTCATAAATTGTTAGTCGTAGAGGTTGCATCACAGTGTACTGCGTTCTCGCTTTTCTTGCACGAGTTTTGCCGCTTATCACGCTGAAAAACTGCATGGCAAAGGAGGGCGCATTAGATTACGAGAATACCATGATTTCGAAACGATGGTGCTTCTGAATGACCGAGGCGCTGGTGTAGAACATACACTGCATTTTTGTTCACGTTTCGCACATAAGCTTTGGTGTACGACTCATAACCTGTTCCAAAAAAGCCTGTTCGCGGAGGCAGTATTATGAGGCTTATACTATTTTGAATCACAGAAGCTGGTAAAGAGGGTAAAATAAATTTCTTAGTTACTGTTTCTCGAATGACTCTCGCTATATCGCTCACAACTACGACGTATTCTTTACATTACTGGGTAGTCAGTGCGCAAAAACCTGTACAGAGGCCATGCTACGGAATCCAATGCTTGGGTGTTTGCATGAAGAACACAAGTCTAAGCGTATTTTACGGAGAACAATACGTAAGTACGCATCTCTCTCTCTTAGGACAAAGGTATGAAGAGAAATCGGTTGCGAAGGTATTCAAAATCAGAAGTTCATTACACGTGGAAGATGATACAATCAACTGATGATGCTGTCGCGGCCGTACACATTTCCGTTCCACGTTGGAGGTTTTCAAATGGTGCGTGTTTTCAGAACGAAATATCTTCTATTCTGTATCTATCAATAACGATACCAATCACGAACAAGTCACTTTATCTCTGCACTTGAAATTGAAAAAATGTCCTTTACTCTGTCTTCTCTGTTTTGACGTCGTGGTGGCGCCACATTCTTGCGACGTGCGTTTCGTGAAAGCCAGCGGCAGTTCGTACATTTGCTGCGAAAAACAACGGAAAGAAAACATGTGTGCTTTTTCTAGTGACAACTCTGAAAGTTTTCCTCCGTTAAACATTGCGCAGGTCACCTTATTCTTTGGATAATAGTGAGCTCAAACGTATATAAGGGGATATCTTACCGCCTGATAAGTTCGTTGTAGTACTCGAGAACTCGAAGCAGAGAAAATCCAAGCCATATTCCTAAATAGCCGCCAACGTAGCCGAAGACTCGAATCAGCTAAAGAAATGTTGTAAATATGAACGAGAACAGACATGTAGTATTTTCCTCGCAAAAATCAATGAAGTACTATTTGAAGATTTAGACGAGATAACGCTATCAATGTGCCCCAACAAAGGATTGCTTTCATCACTTCTACAACACCAGTAAAAGGAAACTTACGCTCAAGGTAGGTTGCTCCGTCACCAGCTCTAAGATGTCCGTGGCGAACCTAACAGTAAGCTCGTACACCACTCTGAAAGTGTGAAAACAGTGGCGTGATAAAGATAAATATACCAACCGATTTCTTTTACTCGATCTCGTACTTACTCGTCAGACCCGTTAGGCTTCTGCAATAAAAGAAAATATTTGCAATCTTACAATGAGGAAAGTAGACAATCTCTTTACCCTAGGTGCAAATATTTACCGGAATGGTCCGTATGCCTGTGACGCGGCTGTCGTAAGTTATATCCCTGAATAATAAAAAAAAAGAATTGTAGTAATAAAATTAGGCAGGCTGCTTTTTTATACAGAAGGTAGTTGGAGTCACGTGATAAAATTTACATACTAATCAACAGTTAGTGGCCTCATGAGAATCGCAAGCTCTTGCGAAACGCTCAGTAAGACACTGAATCACTCAATTTATGTAGACGTATTTTTAAAGTATCTATTCTTTGAAGAAATATCAGGCCTGCGCAGAAAGCGCGTCAAGTAGAAAGTCTTCTACAGAAGAAGGAATTCTAAGAAGCCTGTGAACTTTGACGCTTTTTACCTTTGCTCTTTTTCTAATGTTTGTCTTTTGTTTGATATATATTTGTGAATGCTGTATTCACACAGGCTATAAGGAAAAAAAAACGGCGTGGCTCTGTAGTAGAACACTGGACTCCTGGAGAGGGCCTAGGTTGGAGTCTTGAATTCTGTCCTAAAGGTTCTTGTTTTCTTTTTTTTATTACTGCGTGCGACACCTGTTACGAACGGAGGTGGTGGACAATTACGGCGACCTTGTTGTGATCACATAACAACTTTCGTTGTCAAATAGTATCTTACTTCTTAAAAAAAACGTGTAGGTACTTATCGGCTGCTATCATTTACCTGAAGTTTTGGATGCTTACTGGAAGGGTTGGCGACGAGTATCGTTAGCTGACCTTGCGGTATATCATTTTTCACAAGGGAACCTCACAAGTTTCCTAAACGTTGCAATAACAAAAAAAAAGACTTACTCGCACGATGCTTCACATTGCTTCATGCAGGATTCAAATATGTTTGCTGCGTATGCGGCCTTCCAGCAATCTTCTGGAATAAAAACAAAGCCAACAACATAAGTAGTGGCCGTATACAAAAGGATAAACCACTCAACTAACCAGACGTCAAAATTTAAGGTCACAATAAATTACGTCACAGTGACCTCACGACTGCCTAGACATTTTGGGAACATATGTGGCATCATGATGCTGTCATGAATGACATCATTAAAATCTCTTTTGTGATCCCGTTATATTTTTTTGTACTATTCGCATTGATGGTGTTGTCGACTGTCACTTTTCGGAATCGATGATGCAACTAAAGCTTTCACCTTAATCAAATGCAAGAACTAGGAACCTCTGTGACTCCTTCATTCCAGTTTATATGTACGAGAGCACTGGAATTAATTATAGCAAAGTCCTTCAATACATTTAAAAACTAGAGTATTGAATGGCTATGGTTACAGTAGAGAAAAGAAAACTTCGTAAAACTCAAGCCACCTACTTCCCTCCGTAAGGTTGCAGATGCGCCCTTTGAACGTGGCCGAGTACTCGTGATCGGACAAGTGGCAGCTGCACAGTTCCGCCTCTCTTCTCATAAAACATGTCTGAGTACATGCCTGAAGAAAATGAAATAACAAATAGTAAAATGACACCAAGGGGCTTAAAGAACCTTCGTGTGCTGGCCTATGTAACCGCTTGCACGTGCACGGACTGCCTTTTCCTTGTAAAACCATGGTAAAACAAAGCACACTGAGTGAATCTATTTAAAATATCGGTTGCTTCATGGTGAAAAGTTCTCAAAGAATATGGGCCGTAGCAAGTGGAAAAGCCCCAGTACTACCAGGAGCAGGTCAATGCATTAAACGAAAACTCCGCTCGGTCAATCGGAGCATGTGAAATCCGCGAAAAGAAATCGAGAAAGAGAAAGAAAGAGAAGGATAAAGTATAGCGAAGGACAGAACACATTTGACATAAAAACAGAGAGCTATAAAGAAATAAACGCAACAAAGGTGGAAGATGGAAACAGCAGGCCATAAAAGGATAACAAAACAGATAGAATTAGATGCAAAAAATATACAAAAATGGAGAACAACACAAAAAGAGAAATAAAGAAAGAAAAGGAAGTAGTTATGATGAAATAGAAAGAGAAAAAGAGGAAGTGATAGATAGAGAGAGAGACGCAAAGAGAAAGAAAGAACGCGAGAGTAAGAGGTATAAACAGATTTAAGGAGAGGAAATCGCAAAAAGAGGCAGTGAATATAGACAGATATAGAATAATAGAAAGGAAGAGATAGATAATTAAATACAAATAAAGAAACAGGAAGGGACGCTTACAAAAAAGATACAGAAAACAGGGCGGAAGAGAAAGAGAAGAGAGAAATAAAAATTGAGAAACAAGGAGGCAAGCCAGCTCTAATTTTCTTAATCCTTACAAAGATAGAACGAAGGAGAAATAGACAAAGAGAGAAAGAAGCATAACAAAGCGATATATAGCGCAGTACTACTAAAGGTTGAGAAGGCGAGGTGAGATTGAGGAAGATGAAAGTAGGAAAAGATAACGCAAACCGCCGATTAGTTATTTAAACGACAGTAGAGTAATATGTTGAAAAAGAGAAGTGATTGTTAAGAGAAGTGATGTGAAGGAAAAGAGAAACTACAAGCTCCGATGCTTCCGTATACAGAATTTGCACCACTAGTCCGTGGCTGTCCCAATTTTTAACATGACAGTGTTTTATGCCGGGATTCACCAAGACTTCTCTGATGTATTTCCGTCACGGATATGACGTTGTTGAGATTTGCATGAAGAAAATTCAAGGAAACGAACCAGAAGAAAGAAATTCGCATTTCATACACTCCGAAATCGAAGCCATGACTTCTCAAACGTGTGCTTAGCCATGTGAACCATCAACGCAAGGTGAAAAAGTACTTCTAGCATGCCCTATATGCCGCACTCTCCCGCTCTATACCCGCGCTCTTAGTTTATCAGGGCGATACCACCACCTAAGATCGGAGAAGTATTACACTATGACACTAACACCGACTGAGGACGCTGTGGTATTTTCAGCCGTACGGCGCCTCGATGCCAGAATTCGAATAGATGCTGGCATCAGAGCATCCTATATACTAACGCCACCTAGGCGGCGTTGGTCCTACGTTAAAAAAAAGTCTAACGTTGCCTCTGCAAACTGCTCGGACAAGGTTTCTGGAGCTGATTTCACCGGCCGCAAACACGGCATGTGATTAAGATTCTCTCTACTTGCTGATTCAGCTCTGTGGCGACGCAGTTTACGTGCTTCGTCTTCCGCGTTGTGCTAGCTTGTGTATTGAAGTGCAGCTTCCATATGTGACACTGATGTATATCCGTTATCAGTTCATATCAGTGCGATAGTACCAACTACGAAAACGGCTGCATCAAGCACCGTTGAAAGACAACGGCGTCGAAGGACTATTTTCACGCAAGTGAGTTCGGTGCAGCAATGGACACGGTGTCACGAAGTGCGACGCCAACACGGTCCCGAAGGCACCACTGCTCCGAAACGCGCCGCTGCCGAGGTCACTGGCTGTTTGGTAGCGTGTGTTTCTCAACATACGACTGCTTCTGCGCAGAGCTTATGGACGAGCAGACAAGACGACGGTGAGTTAAGGCAAGATTTATGTACAGCATAGAAATAGAGGTTTACATATTTGGCACTGTGGCCGACACCTTAGGGATACGAACAGCCGAGATTTCCTCTCTCTGACGCATAGGTCGGCTGCTTGGAGAAGCGCCGCATGGGTCTTTATAGGCCCCAGGTGATCCTTTTGCGTCATCAACATCCAATCAAAACTGCCGCAAGGTTGCGTCAGAGTCCCCCGATGGGGACTCGCTGCTGGGTTGCGTCATGATCCTCAAATCCGGAGCTGCTGCGCTGGGTTGCACCCAAACACGAGTGATGCCCTTACGCATTGCGTAAGACTCGCCAGACTGGATGGCGCCGCTTGCTTCATCGGGCCCGTTGGCTGAGGGAGCCCGTCCTGCTTTGGGTAATACATACCGGCGCCGCCGCTTGATGGCGCGGTTGAGTTAATAGCGTCAGGTGGGCTCGCTGGCTGTCCTTGACACAGATTGCCTTTGCAGAGGCCATGACGTGTTCGGTGTGGACTCCCAGGCGTAACAACGGTCAGGGGGAAGCGGGAGGCCTTCGAACATTCACGGTTCAGGCTAAGAACTCACTCTGTCGCACTTGCACTTGTGAAGTTAAGCGCATCGCATGGCTGCCATAATACAGACACCGATGCATGGGGTATCGAAATGCTGGTATCATCGCCAAACCGACTTATCAGCAGGACGATGCTCACCGGCACGACGCCGTATGCAAAGCACATCCGCGATACGGCCACCGAGCCGCAAATGATGCTCTTTCGCTGCAGCGGACCTTTAATTGAAAAGCGATTGAAACCCAAATCGTCTTACTTTTGCGGTTTGTGAACACCTGCAGCGCGGTTCAAGTGTGATTTGCGTGATGCTCCAATGCGTGCAATGCAGTGTCTCTGGAAAGTGTATATATACCGGTCGTGAGTCATTGGTTGTCACGGTGGAAAAGATGTGCCACCAGGTGGTAACATGGGTGCATCAATATTTAGGGGTATATGCAGCCACTAAACACCAACAGACATCCTATGTCTATCTGTAATAGGATTCTAACTACTTCGGTGAAGACACTTTCATGTGTTGTTTCACAAACACTTTCGTTTCACTTTCGTGTGTTATACTAATTCGTATATCATAGGGATGTACCACATTTTTTTATGTTGAGGCGAATTCGACATTCTCCTGTGAAGGTTTGATGCTGCAAGGGGGATTTGATTTGCTGACTCTTTTATCTCACACATGTTTTTGGGGCTTCCAAAAGCGTAATATGTTTCAACTTGATCCTTCGGTGAAACACCAACTAATTGATATTTGGGGTTTAACGTCCCAAAAGTTTTGAGCATCTGGGGTTCTTTAACGTGCACCCAAATCTCAACACACCAGCCTACAACATTTTTGCCTCCATCGGAAGTGCAGCCGCCGAAGCCGGGATTCGATCCCACGACATGCGGGTCAGCAGCCGAGTACCTTAGCCACTAGACCACCGCGGCAGGGCAGTGAAACACTAACTATACGACTGCCTCTTTTCCGACCTGATGCGATGCTGTCATTACGCGTTTAGATGATAGTTGCGTTCATAAAAGTGTATGCGATAGTTCCGAGTTGAAAGGGCGAACACCTTTACATGCGACTCGTGCGGGACACAAGAAACAGGACGTCTAGTATGGCTGGGGTCGCTAGTACACTAAGTAATACCAACTCCATCTGCTTCTGAACTGACTGGACTAAAGATCGTTTTCTACAATAATGGATCTACGACCATGTACATGTGGCTCGAACGCGCAGTAGGTAACGAAAGTGTTATAGTTGCTTAATTTTTAAAGATTTGTGTGACTAGTCTTTATGTACTCCCACAAATCACCGCGTGATTCTGTCAATCTCACTCTTTTTGATGTGTCTCTTTTCGCCGTTTAGCAGGCGTGGGATAGCTAACCGAACGTGCGTCTGGTTAACCAGCCTATAGCTTTTCTCGGTTCTTTTCCTTTTTTGTTCATTGATGTGAATATCAGAAGCGAAATATTTTTTATTTAGCACTTTTTTTCGCTATTAACAGCGACAGTGTGTATATTGAGAATCATAAATATGCTGTTGTGAGCCGTGTAATTGAGGCATGTAAGCATTTAAGGACAACAAATTCATGAAATCCCAGGCTTTTCTTGCTGCACAATGAAAGGTTCACTTAGCGATGAACATTTGCGCATAGTTACAAAATTATTGATTGTAAAGTGCTTGGAAAACGCTCGAGTTGTTATGAAATATATTCAAGACGCGAAAGTGATTTAACTCTAGTCACTCCTGCCTGACTGAAATGATTGTGAAAGAGGAACGCATGCATATTACCTCTTTCGATGCAATTCCGTAGAACTCTTGTTTCACTCCGTCACTGCTGTAGTCCTTACAGCGTGAAGAGAAAGGTGATGGTAGGCGTCTTTTTGTTTGCTGCAATTGGTGAAAAATTGTTAATAAGGTTCACTAGAACTGATCAGGCATTTATACAATCATGGAAGGCAAAACCAAGTTTTCTGCACATTATAATAATATTAGTAATAGATCATTCTTTCTAGATTACAATATTTGGTTTTTAAGAGGCCCTAAAACACTCTTTTAAGTAATGATGAAATGGAATACTTAAAGGAGTTTACTGCCTCGCGAATCGACCACCGCAAACATTTTGAGCATCCGTCAAGTACGAGCGCTGTTACAAGGATTCGGTTCTCTCTTTAGGCGCTGTCTTTTTCTTTCGTACCAGCGATGGCACTAAAAATGGCGCCGAGGGTGGGGTGACAAGAGGGCGAATATACATAGGTCCGTTCAGCAGTTTCAGCACTTTTTCCACTCTCTCAGAGCACGCGGCTTACTGTTGTGTGTTCTCAAGTGAGCGCGTGGATCTGTAGTGCCATACCGCGGTGGTATCGGTAAATATGCAGCTCACGATGTTTGAATCTGCCCATAAGTGTTGTGTTAGACTTTATGGCGTGGTTACTGAAGTTTATGGCATCATTTTTAGAGAGCAGAGGGAATGATTTCTAGCTGACTTAGTGAATTATTTATAAGCTTTAGGCCACGTCCCGTGCTTGAAGGTTTCATTCACTTGTTCTCAGGGATACTCAACTTCTCCCCGGCAACGTTTTGTAGAGCACGCTGAAAAAGTTTTGGTGGGTCCGTGGTTTGGTAAAAACACTCAGACTTTGCAAAAAAAAGAAAACACATTTTGCGAACTGCAAACACTTCTCTGAGAAGTTCCATCATATTTTGGGACGTGCATGATGTGTATATTTTACAAGCACAAGGCAATGTTCTTACGTTAACAAGCACCCTCTGTCCGTGCAGGGTCCCTCTTCAACCCACACAACTTGCCGGCAGCTGCTAGATTTTGCAATTTAGCAGATTGGCCACTGAGCTGACACAGGTCAATAGTGGTGTTTAGATAAGAGCAGCTTCTTCCCAGGACGTTTAAACTGTTCTGAACCTGGCTAAAATTACCCAATTAGCCGAATGCAATGGAATCACAAAATGCGTGCCCAAAAATATTTTGGGTTTCATGATGCGTGCTCAAGTTCATGACGCGCGCTGATGTAGATTCTTGCATCTTTGTCATACATTCACTGAAGTACGCAGACAGCCTGTATTTCAATTGAACTAAATGTAGATAACTAAAACCTAGAAGCACCAGGGTAGACGAACTGACTTGTGATTTATTTTCGTTCTTCTTTATTTTATAATATTGCTGCATGTGTCTGATAATGAGTAAGGCAAAAAAAAAGAAATACAAAAAGGAACTGCTTATATATTTTTGGTGTAGCTTTCGAGCGCAACCTGCTTGATAGCGATGTCGTAGCTCTTCCACTCGACCAGCGCGATGGCGGCGTTGCGCTCGGGTCTGCAGAGCTGCGGCTGTTGCACAAACACTGGGAGTGGAAGCGAGGCCACCAGCCGTAGAGTGTTCTTCTCGAAAAAGCGAAGGCGAATATGTAGTTCTAAAGGATTGAGAAGTACAGAAAAAAAAAACCGTTAGGAATTCTTCACAGAAGCGGATTTTAATAAATTGTGAAGTCGGAGATATCCTTAGTTAAAGGGAGCGTTGAAAAGCAGAAAGCAACAAGTGAGAAGCTTCGTGAATGCACCCATTGCACGCTGAGCTAGGCCTCCACAACATTTTATTTATTTACTTATTTATTTATTTAGAAAAATCTTACAGCCCTCGCAGAGGCACTGTACGAGGGGGCCAGTCACAGTAGAAGAGTGTAGCGTATAAAAGAACAACGGCAAGTGCAGAAAAATAGATGTAAGTACAAAGAAAGTGACATCTGGCGTCGAATTAAAATATAGTATTGATCAGCAAGTTTGAAAAAAAAAGAAAACACAATAGTGTATTAGACATATCAAATGCAAGCGCAGTGCATAACAGTGCATAAATTACGCATTTACCTGTACTAGTTGGAATAAGCACCGTTATCTAAACTTTAAAAAATAAATAAACACATAAAAAGAGCACACCTTTTTCTGGTGTATTATAAGAAAAAGGGGTGACTATACCTATACACGATGCTATGTTATATGGGAGGTTATTATTATTATTATACACCTCGACGCATTAGTGGACGTCTCGACACATTGTAGAGAAACCACTGCTTGTTCACTTCATTTATGTAACTAGCGCAGAAACTAAGATTATACATAACAAAGTTTTCTTCGAAGAAGCCATCAAATTGGTAGTCAGCGCTTGTACTGCTGTGTTAATTCCTTTTTGGCTTCGTGTGTTTCCTGACTTTTCAACATCTTGAACTCCAACAAATTGTTCTCATGGTGAACAGCGCGTCGAAGCACCTGTGCCTCGTAGGTTTGGCGTAACTTTGTGACATTAGTAACTGTTATCGTTTGCCACAACTTTTAAGAACTGTGTGTATAACTAAGATTGCAAATTTATACACAGCGTTCTACCCTAAGCCAGAGCTCAGGAACATTCTCGCCGCGGACACAATGCACCATGAAAAGAATGTAAAAATCATGCAGCTCGTTCAACCTCGGCCATTGAATTTCGGCAGTTGATTTCACATGTGTGTTAAGATAATTTCATTAAACCGTACGTATGCTGAGAACAAAAAAAAGAACACTCACCGTATAACCAAGGGGTGCTGCACTTATCAAGCGTGTTATCATGCCCTCCGTATAGCTTACTGTCTAAGGTGTAGCAAAGCAGTATGGGTAAGCGTAGAAAGGTGATTCTGATGCTGAAATAGATAATCAGATAGATAGATAGACAAATAGATAGATAGATAGATAGATAGATAGATAGATAAATTGATTGATTGATAGATAGATAGATAGATAGATAAATAGATAGATAGACAGATAGATAGATAGATAGATAGATAGATGGATAGATAGATAGATAGATAGACAGACAGATAGATAGATAGATAGATAGATAGATAGATAGATAGATAGATAGATAGATAGATAGATAGATAGATAGATAGATATGTGGTGTTTAACGTCCCAAAACCACCATATGATTATTAGAGACGCCGTTGTGGAGGGCTCTGGAAATTTTGACCACCTGGGGTTCTTTAACGTGCACCCAAATCTGAGCACACGGGCCTACATCATTTCCGCCTCCATTGGAAATGCAGCCGCCACAGCTGGGATACGATCCCGTGACCTGCGGGTCAGCAGCCGAGTACCTCTGCCACTAGACCACGGCCGTGGGGTAGAAAAGCAGGGCATTTAATTAGAAATGGCAATTTATTATTTTTCAGCCTTGTTTAATGTTACCTTTGCCTGGCGAAGCTTCTTAAGTCAACATCTAAATGTTTGTTGTGTCACGCTGAAGTGCTGTATAGCGTGTAAAGCTGATGTGCGTTCAGAGCCATTCAGATGAATATCTAGCGGAGGTTACTTAAGCGAGCATCATTTGCATCGTTGCTGTTGTTTCAATAGAGAAGGGCACGTATTGTAGGTGTATGTTGCCAGCGAACAATCCCAGATTAGTTTCTGGCCCTGAAGTATATTCATTCATCAAGACGTGCCAATCTATTTTCGTTACGGAAGATGTTGGAACGCTAGCACAGCACGAACTGTCTTACATGGCTCAGTGAACACTTACTGGTCGGCTGCAGTTAAATGATTTGCACTCGGAGCTTGTCGATTCCATACGGCAATCAAAAATTTCTCTTGGCTCATATCCGACAAGAGTACGCATCTCTGGTTCGTACTGGGCCCTAAAAATGCCCCAAAGAACCTCCTGTATAAAAGAACGAAAGAAGGCATTGTGCTTGCATATGATGAGAGCTCCTTCACACTTCAATAGTACAGAAAAATCTACCTAATAGTTTCTATCTAACGCTTGGATCACGCACCATAACGCAAGATCAAAAGAATTTTACTAACATCGTAATTTATTAAATACGAGGCCATCAGAAACACACCCAACGCAAACAAATACTACATCACCTCGAAAACGGGGAGGGAAGGTAATGTATTACGAAAATATTCTTTTTGTTCATACAATTAGTATTCCATGACAAGTTTTACAAACAAAATTCTAAAACGTACCTGGCCAAACTTAGTGCACAATCGAGGAGTCTTGAGGCATGCTTCCGACTTCTTATTAATCCTGAAATAAAAGCAAATTGTGCAAGAGTTATCTCGGTGATTGTATTATGCTGATCTATGTTCTCAACCTACAGTGCTTTTGTTCTTCCAATACAAAGCCGCAAATCAGAAACATTGCGTTAAAGCTTATGTCACTCTAAAAGTTGAACCAGTGTCGGTTGACACAATAAACTCAAGAAGTGTGGTCTAAGTATGAGATAACTATCGGTTAGTGCTACCGTGTCCTTGTGATAGTAGACCGCACTGTCAAGATCTTGTGAAGACACTATTCAGCAATAATAGTGTTTGAAAAAAAACACAGGTAATTATCCCTAATCTAAGAATGAAAAAGTTTCGAGATATCTGCATATTCATAGACTCAAAACTGTAACGAATATGCTTCAATTACCTTAGTGTGGCTGTTTAAGTTCATATATTAACGTTCACTCACCAGCTGTTGGTGCAGGTCGTCACTGATGGGAAGACGAGTGACTGTCTCTTCACTTCGGTAGGTACAGACTGGTGACTATAGTCTAGGTACTTGTCAACTTGTAAACCAGCTTGGTACATAAACGTTCCCGCGCAAAGCGCGATAATGAGTGAACTTAGTAGCCAAGAAATAGCAGAACGTCTTTTAATCAGCCTCATTCTTAAATTTTGCAGAAGTCGTTACCTATGGACCAATTTCAGTGACAGCCTTGTCTGTAGGCTCGGCGAGGCAGCTATGTTTACTTAGCCAACACACTGAGCTTTTATAGGTCCTCTGATCCCTAGATGATACATCCCTGTTGCTAATGGTACGACATAACAGACACATCAATATGGCTAATGGTGACAGGTAATGGTCCCTAGATTCATCAACATTGAGACATCCTGCTACAACTTTTCTTTTCTTTAAACCCCACAACAGACCCCACAAAATTTACGTAGCATGTTGTAATATGGTGTCCTGTTTAAAGTTAACTGCTCTGAATGCTAGCATAGTACGAACGGTCTTACATGGCTCAGAGATTTTTCTCCCGCTGCTCTAAACAGGCTGCCTTTCTCCGAACAGCTTTTTTATTGATTAGCGTGAGCATGGAGGTAATAAAAATGTAATAGATGGCTAGGTTCATCGAATGTAAGTTTACGGATACTTACAAGGCCCGTGCACTGTTTGGGACCTCAATGATCATTAAGGATGAAAATGAAGAACGTTCAAACGCAGTTTTACACTGAACATGTTTTGTGCAAAAAAACAACAACAAAAAGAAAGCAACTTTCGTATGTGTGAGCACATCTTCGAGACCTGCTGGAAACCGAAATTTCCCGAAGCTTCGTATAGCGCACAGAGAATTATATATATAGGGATAGATCTATCACTTGTTTACAGATTTATTTTGAAAGCGCACATACCATAGAAAGACCATAAAAAAAGGCGTCGCATGGGAAGTGGAATTATAACTTCAAGTATATAGGTTGACTTTGGCGTGGTTATCGCTGACATCACTGAGAAGCAACATCCTTTAGGTAAGTAGTATTTTACTTGACAGCATAAGTTGCTGTGACTCATTAAATGAGCTGTGCACAAATAAACTAGACACCCGAAACTTCGTGATTTCTAGACACAGTCGTAACATTGTTTAGTTCCACGCACACTCTGAGTACATTCTTTTTATTGTGCCTAAATGGGTGCCTATTGGAAGAGACATTTACAGTTACCCTTTACCGCAGTGTCTTTAGGTCAGGTTTGTATTCTAAATTTATTATTTTTATTGATTGTACTGTTATCGAATTTCACCTCTAATATGACAGACATCTCACTGCTTGGACCTTTCGAAGAAGTTGTAATACGGAGTCCAACATGTCTGTAATGAATACATGCTCTCCATTACATAAAGGTAACATTGTCGCCATTCCGCAATATGCTCAAACGAAATGATCAGCGTGATTGCTGGTGAAATGCGAATGTTGTTCGAGTCCGCATGATTAGCCATACTCGTATTTATCATCATTATTTTCGTACAACCTAAGATGGATGTATGGATGTATCCAGCCTGTGCCTTTTATATCGAGTGGTGGCTCACACCACCTAGCCATAAAGTTTAGTACTATCACTATGTGTTTAGAGATTGAATTTCACTCTCACCTTGATTGTAGCCACCAATCAGTTGTGAGCATAAGCGCCCCCTCTTGTCAAATATGCGCAATTCAAGTTGTTCTCAAAGCTTCGGAGAGGCTGCTGTTGCGACAACTCCCGGAGGCAAGACCCCAGCTGCTGAAGATCCGGCTGTTTTTCTGAGATGGCGGTAGCCGATCAGAATGTTGTAGGTAGCCTTTGTGTGCGCGCCGCCTCGGCTCCCTCAGAATTCTGGCGGCGTTCATTTTCGTTTCGTTCAGTTTTTTTCATAAATTCTTGTGTGTCATTGGGAGTGGTAGCCCTGTTCAAAGTTGGTCGCATCATACAATTGTATTGGATAGTTTCTGTCATGTAGCAGCCTTCTGCATCAGTATAATAAAGATAAAGCAACAATGAAATAAAAGTGGTGCCTTGCGAATGTACATGACGTATGCCAATATTTGGAATAAAGAAAAAGGAAGAATAGAAAGGGTTTTGTTTTTCTCGTTGGGTCAACTAAACCAATAGTACATACGAAAGTCATGGGGTATATTGACTTTGACTATATAGGGTATATTGACTATGACTTTCGCACACACACGAAAGTCATAAGGAAAGTCATATGGTATAGGGCATAGGAAAGAGAAGTAAAGTAATACACTAGCACACATATCAGCATGTGCTGCGCATGCCCAGAAGTCATAAAACTGTGAATTACCACAAAGTACGGGTCATCTTCTACTGTCCTAGATGACGTACACATCAAACCACATGTTAAAGTAGGCTTACAAGGACTGGCTCCAAGGTGTCCAGAACTTGCACTGCGCTTGGAGCTGATAGGGTTGTCCATCTGGTGTGGAATATGTGCATTGTGCTAACCAATTACCTCAACACAGCGGCGACACGTGGGTCTTCGTCGCGGAAATCTTTCGTCGAATCTTGTGTCGTCTCTCTGTGGGTGGGCCGTGGTGGTAAGGACGGCCACTCAGCATCCGCCGCCGCCTTCCTCCACTCTGCGTCTTTTGGACTCCTCAGAATGTAGTGCGTTGGTATACGTATGCCACACAGGTCCCGTTAATTAGGGAGGCGATCGCCGGGCTAATTCCAAGGGCCGAAGTATCGGCCCCCCGAACCGCACCACGAAAGCGTGGACAATTTAGAAGTGGTCCTTTTTGGCGCGCCAGCGGACGCCGGCTGTGGCCCAAAGAACGAGTCAGAGCCGAGAGTTGATAAACAAACAAAATTATATTATCAATAATGGCAGATCGAAAACAACACACAAGAATGCACACTTCACAATAGTTGCATACAATATGTCACCAATCAAACAACGTACTACACAGTACAATCAGCCACACTCGATACAACGGACACAGACAACAATACACACTACAATGCAGTTGCATGCATTGAACAACCAAGACACTTAAAGACTAAAGAGATAGAAAACCTATTCAGTTCAAAGTTCTTGGAACAAAAGTCTGAATGATACTCTTCCGAGAATCAATCACTCAAAGTCCAGCGTTGTTGTCGTTCCGCTGCCCTCGAAGTTTCTCTTCCAGGAAACCTCGCCGAAGTTTCTCTTCCAGGAAACCTCACGTCTTCAATAGGCCACTCTCCAAACTTCAAACTTCTTCGCCGGAAACACGTCGGCTTCACACACGCAGCTGTTGCCACGCGTCTTTGCTCGATAGCGGTAAACACACGCTCTTGCCTGTAGCTCGAGCCTTCACCCCTCAGGTGGAAATCCTCTTCTTCTCCTGCTTTGTCCCCACAGACAAAACCTTCGCCGACTACACGGCGGGATACCCAACGCGCTCTGGCGCTAACTTCCGTCTTCTCCTGCTTTGTCCCTACGGACAAAACCTTCGCCGACTACACGGCGGGATACCCTACGCGCTCTGGCGCTAACTTCCGTCTTCTCCTGATCTTTCGTCTCGGCTGCTCGATTAAATACCTTCCGCGCGAGATTCCAGAAGGTTCTCGTCATTTCGTCGGCGCGATACGCAGCGAAGGCTGGGGGCAGGCGCGAGACTGTACGAGGGCCGTTCCCGACAGATGACTCAACCCGGCATAATACGCCCCTTTCCTTCTAGAAAAATCGAGTGCTTGCTCGGCCGCCGTTGTGGGGTGAGGAGGTTCGTCGGCGAAGCCACGCTTCCGCGGGGAGAGGGAGCGTGCCCGGGGAGCTTGTTTTCTTTTTTCTTTTCCTTTTATCGTTGACCTCGCGGCGTCACTCCAGCGTTTCGTCGCGAGGAGTGTGCGGCGCGCTCTTTTTGAGCGCTCGTTCTGTGACAACGTATACGTAATGATGGTGGTGGAGGCAGTCATGGTAGCTGTCGGGAAAAAGAAGTCAGGTTGTGCACTGTATTACATGATGGTACAGATTGGGCAGCAATATTCTTAGACCTTCGTCATTACCGCGAGCGTCGTTTTCCCTTTCTGATAATATCAGCGGCTTCTTTGTGTGTTGAGTCATACCTTACCATCCGTTTTATTACCCCCCATTCTTTATTCAATGCAGTAAATTCTCTTGATGAAGCGTCATGTGATGCGTGTCAGTTGGAACATTTCAGGATAGTTGTTCGGCACGATTCGGTCCTGTAGGAATCCGTACATCGGGGCAAAGTACGACGTTCTTGCAAACTCTGCGCACATCACCCCTTTTCTGACATTAGCGGCATCGTAGTGATTTTGGTGTAATTGAAGGAACCACGTGGCAAAAGTGTCTTATTTACCTTGACGTGGGATGGCAAAGTGTCGCCTCTGAATGTAATCTTCACGCAATGCGACTTGCCCAAGCGTGATACTTTGACTACGTTGGTGTAGCCACTTACGTCTTTGATCACCATCGGAATATCGGCACAAAGAACGGTGATAACAACATACTATATTACACCAACTACCATGTCCTAGCTCAGTTGAATACGAGTTATTATACCTGAATGCCATACAGGTCCTTGATGCAGGACAGAGATAGGATAGATGGCTGGTGTATTACGTCGATGGATAAGGCATTCTTGCGGGGATTTACTCGCACCTCCCTAATTCGTTTGGTGCCCAAGACTCGAGCTTTCGCGAGATTGTCTGCCGATTAAGGTTCTTGTCCGATGGCGTGAATGGCGTGACTGGTTACGTATGTTATATGTGGCCCGATAAGAGTCTCATGATCGTTAGATCACTGAATTATATGCGTGACCATTATTCTAGTTTCGTAAGGCAACTCGCTTCTGTGGTTAGCTACAATGCAGAACTCTATCAGAAAAAAATTGAACAGACGTGAAGGCGTTATTCACTTGGTGTGCTAGGCGTTGCTACAAACTTCGAAGTAGAGTCACCAATCGTAGTTAATGAAACACGAAAAACAAGCTGTTTATTGCTTTAGTTTCGCGATCAGGTGTTGTTTACTTGTAAGAATAAAGTCTAAAGAAAAGTTCCTCTTGTATAGCACTTGAGAAAGTTCAATACCGCT